TTTAAAAATTTTATTTGAGGGGCACCTGGGTGGCTCAGTCGATTAAGCATCCGACTTCGGTTCAGGTCATGATCTCGCGGTCTGTTTGAGCCCCGCGTTGGGCTCTATGCTGACAGCTCAGAGCCTGGATTCTACTTCAGATTCTGTATCTCCCTCTCTCTTCCTCTCCTCTACTTATGCTCTGTCTCTGTCTCTCAAAAGTAAATAAACATTTAAAAAATTTTTTAAATTTTATTTGAGAGAGAGAGAGAGAAAACAGGAGTTAGGGAGGGGTATAGGAGAAAGGGGGGGAAAGAGAGAGACAGAATTCCAAGCAGGGATCCTGATCCAGGCTCCAAAGATACTCCATCAGAGTCCTCTTTATATTTTGTACTTTTTTTTTTTTTTCTGAGAGAGAGAGCCTGGGAGCAGGGGCTGTGGGGCGAAGGGACAGAGAGGGGGAGAGACAGAGAGAGAGAGAGAAAGAGAGAAAATCTTAAGCAGGCTCCGTGCACAGCATAGAGCCCGAGGCGGGGCTCGATCCCATGACCCTGGGATCATGATTTGAGCCAAAATCAAGAGTTGGACGCTTGGGGCTCCTGGGTGGCTTAGTAGGTTGAGCGTCCAATTTCAGCTCAGTTCATGATCTTGCAGTTCGTGAGATTGAGCCCCGTGTCAGGCTCTGTGCTGACAGCTCAGAGCCTGGAGCCTGCTTCCAATTCTGTGTCTCCCTCTCTCTCTCTGCCCCTCCCCTACTCACGCTCTGTCTCTGTCTCTCAAACATGAATACACGTTAAAAAAAATTAAAAAAAAAGACAAGAGTTGGATGCTCAACCGACTGAGCCACCCAGGTGCCCCTCACATCAAAAGTTTTTTTAAAAGAATTAATATGCATGGTAAGTGCAACTGTGTGCACACATGACCAACACCAGAGGGCAATAGGAAGGAATAGAAATCTCTTCCGTTGGATGGTGAAATTAAGAATGACTTAAATGAAAAAAAATTTTATTCTTTGGATACTATTCTATTGTTTTGGCAATTTAAATGGGTGTTGGATAGAGAAGAACCAATAATGGGCCTTGTTCCCAAATCTGGAGAAATGTGACCAGCAGTTCTCGTTCACTTGGTTCATAGAAACTAGTTCGGAGCCATTTGCGGTATTCCAGGGTCTTTTTTTTCCTGTTTCTGATATTGTCATTCATGAATCTAGTATTGGAACGCCACCCATGTCGCTAGGCACCGTTCTAGGTGCTGACATACCAGGCAGTTTCTGAAAGTGATACCAGCTCTGGGGAAAAAGAAGCGGTGCGAAGAAGCAGCCAGAGAACTGGAGGAGTCCTAGGAGAGCATCTTGTTTGTATCCCAGGAGGAAATTTTGGAAGGAAGGGAGCACCTGTGCCCATGGGAAGGCGGGCCCCCAAGAGAGGGAGGAGCTGGCGCTAAGACCGTAAATTGCAGATGAGCTGGAGGTTTCAAAGGGCGGCGGGAAGGTCTGCGGGAGATGAGAGCCCCGGGAAGGTTGGGAGCAGGGCTGTGGCATGATCTCATTTGATCTTTTTATTGTTTATGTTTGTTTCGTTTTACACCAACTCTACTGAAGCAGAATTGCTACAATGGGGTGCATCTGTGTTAAGCGTGCAGTTGGATGCATGCTGACCGATGGCGTGCAGCTGCTATCCTGATCAGGCTCTAGAGCTTCCCGGTCATCGATCCCAAAAGTGTCCTCATGCTCCTTTGCAGTCACTCTTCCCACCCCCATTTGCTGTCTCTATAGTTCTGTCCATCCTAGAACGTCACAGAAGTAGAATCTTGTGGTGTTCTCTGCACGTGGCTGACTCCCTTCACTCAGAATGTTTCGATTCACCTGTGCGGTTGCACGTGCAATGGTTCTTCCCTTTTCAGTGCTGAGTAATATTTCATTGTAAGGCTGTACCTTGGTTGGTTTACCCATTCATCTGTTAATGGGCAGTTTGGTTATTTTCACATTTTGGTTATTATAATGATGCTACTAAGAACATTCAAATGCAAGTCTTCGTGTAAGTTTTCATTTCTCTTGGGTGAGTATGAAGGAGTGGGATCACTAGATCACATAGGCACCAGGTGTTTAACTTTATAGGAAACTGCCCAACAGTCTTCCAAAGTGGCTGTGCCATTTTATACTTTCACTAGCAATGTAAGTTGATTTACTTTTTTTTTTTCAAGTTTATTTGTTTGTTTTGAGAGAGAGAGCGTGGGAGGGGCAGAGAGAGAGAGGGAGAGAGAGGATCCCAAGCAGTCTTTGCATCAGCAGCACAGAGACCCAATGCGGGGCTCGAACCCACGAAATGGGAGATCACGACCTGAGCTGAAACCAGGAGTTGCACACCACTGATGTGCCCCGGGTGATGATTTACTTAAAAGAAAAAAAACAAAAAACACTTCCTTTAACATTTGTTAATTTTTGAGAGAAAGAGACAGAGCACAAGCTGAAGAGGGGCAGAGAGAGAGGGAGACGCAGAATCGGAAGCAGGCTCCAGGCCCTGAGCTGTCAGCACAGAGCCCAATGCGGGGCTCAAACCCACGAGTTGTGAGATCATGACGTGAACTAAGGGCGGACGCTTAACCAGCTGAGCCACCCAGGTGCCCTGATGATTTGCTTTTTAAAGACCTCACTCTGGCTGCAACTTGGACCTGGGTCTACAACATGCATGAATTAAAAATGACATTTCACACTTGATCTAGAAAAATCCTTCAAGATCTAGCTACCACATTCCAACCCATGATTATTGATGCCTGGTTTAGGGTAGCTTATATGGATGATGTGCTGTTATCTGGCTGCCCACGTCCTCCCCTTTACTGTCTGACTTCAATTTAGAGATTAGATTAATTGCTGACTGCTCATCTCATCACCTTTTTGTTTTCTGGGTCTTACAAGAGGGCAGTGAAGGATACAACTTTTTAATCACGAGAAACTTCCATCCAAAAGGATTTTCTCTTATTCATACATGTCACAGTTCAGTGGTGAAGATCTGCTGTATTCCTAGCCTACGAAAAATAACAAGAAACGTTTTCTAGAACTAATTCTCGGTTCTTGTTTGTTTTCTTTTTTCTGTCTAAAGGGATGATTCAAACAAACGTAGCTTCCAAGACCCAAAAGAATGTTGTCAGAAGGCCAAAATTCGTGTCTTACGAGGATGTGGAACAGATTAAAAGGGGGTTCAAGTAAGTGTTCAGAAGCAGTGCCTGCTGGCGGATGCTGTAGGTGTTCACCCGCCGATCTCCCCAATCTACTCCTGCATCTGTTTTCTTGAAATCTTCCTGCTTGCATAACACTGCAGTTTCCTTTTGCATCCTCTATGCTTGTGAAGCGGTACAGGGTGGCTGAAAGGGTAGGCGAGCAGGAAATCTGTCTCTTCCTCTGACTCACAGGGGACTTGGCGGGAGCCTCAGCTACCCGGGTCTCAGCCTCTTCACTGTGCACGGCAGGATCGAAGGGGTGTGCCTAGAAATAACCAGATGCACCATTAGAGGGGCTTGTGTTCCTGTGGGTTCTTCTGCATATCTTATGTTTTGTTGAGTGGATTTGTAGAGGGTAGGCAGCTGAGGAAGAAATGGGAAAAGAGAGGGAAGCGTTAGTTGCCTGGGCAAGGAGATTTGGACATGACACGGTTGATTGAAGGGGATTGTTTAGAGGAAATTTTGCTGTGGAGGATCCTGTGTCGCTCTCCTCTGTGTGCTCATGAAACTCAGTAAAATCTACGTTGTTCATGAAGGGTTTTGGGGTTGGGGTTTCCCTCCACCCTCCCGGGTGATACGTGGTTATGTGAAACAGATTTCAAGGTGGGTGTCAAATCAAGCATGACTTTTTCACAGTTGATTTATTTCAGTTTTTATCAAAACAAGGTGTGTGTGTTGCATTTTGTTGTTTTTATTAAAAAAATTTTTTTTAATGTTTATTTTTGAAAGAGACAGAGACAGAGTGCAAGTGTGGGAGGGGCGGAGAGAGAGGGAGACAGAGAATCCGAAGCAGGCTCCAGGCTCTGAGCTGTCAGCACAGAGCCTGATGTGGGGCTCGAACCCGTGAACCGCGAGATCATGACCTGATCCAAAGTTGGATGCTCAACCGACTAAACCACCCAGGCGCCCCTTGTTGTTGGTTTTTAAGAAACTAAGCGATTCGTCCTTAGAGAATTTCCCACATTCAGAATGTATCAAATTTTTTTTTTTAATTTTTTTTGTTAACATTTATTTATTTTTGAGACAGAGAGAGACAGAGCATGAACGGGGGAGGGTCAGAGAGAGAGGGAGACACAGAATCTGAAGCAGGCTCCAGGCTCTGAGCAGTCAGCACAGAGCCCGACGCAGGGCTCGAACTCACATACCGCGAGATCATGACCTGAGCCGAAGTCGGACGCTTAACCGACTGAGCCACCTAGGCGCCCCCAGAATGTATCAAATTGAATGCCTATGGGGTCATCTGATAAGAAATTTCTATGAGCTCATGGCTTGTTCAAGATTTAGAGGCTTGATTAGATCAAGGTTCCATTGTTCGTTAATGGTACAATTTAACTGCTACTTTGTACTTCCTGTCACATCACAGTAGGAGGCACATAATGTCTAGTTGTCCTCCTTAAAATTTGTTTAATGTTTATTTATTTATTTTGAGAGAGAGAGAGCAAGAGAGCGGGGGAGAGGCGGAAACAGAGAGGGAGACAGAGAATCCCAAGCAGGTTCTGTGCCATCAGCACAGAGCCTGACATAGGGCTTGAACTCAGGAACGGCGAGATCGTGACCTGAGCTGAAGTCCGACCGTTAACCGACTGAGCCACCGAGGCACCCCTAGTTGTCCTATTTTTAGTGACGAAGACGAGACAGGGTTGTGTTCATTCCAGTCTGACCTCTCTGTAACAACCTCACTGTTCCTCATCTGTTCTCTCACTCGATGGTTGCAGTCGCTCCTGCTGGTCACCGTTTCAATCCTTTATTTCATCAGCAGTTATGAAATGGTGGTTTTCTAATCCTGTCAATTCTGCAGTTACTAGCTGTGTACTGTCTGCTAGGAAGAGTTTTCCTCCTGTGTAGTTATCCTGAAATACAGTTTCTACAGGAAAGACAGCAGGATTCTTTCCCTGGTGCTTCTCGTCTACTCCAGTGTTTATAGTTTCTCAAAGACACTGTAAGACATCTTAATGCTCGCTCGCATATTAGATCCTTTGAAGGTTGAGCAGGAATATAAAAAGGAAGGAATGCTTTTACATCTTGAATCAGTGGGAAAATAACATTAAATTAATTTACCAAATTATGGGTAATGACTGCATGTAAAAAGCTTTTTTTTTATTATTTTTTAATGTTTATTTTTGAGACAGAGAGAGACAGAGCATGAATGGAGGAGGGTCAGAGAGAGAAGGAGACACAGAATCTGAAACAGGCTCCAGGCTCTGAGCTGTCAGCACAGAGCCTGATGCGGGGCTCAAACTCACGAACTGTGAGATCATGACCTGAGCCGAAGTCAGCCGCTTAACCGACTAAGCCACCCAGGCGCCCCTAAAACGCTTTTTTTTTTTTTTTTTTTTTTTT